TTTAGTTCGTATTATATTATACGTTGTGTGTTGTGTGTATGTATAGTGTATATATATATATATATATATATATATATATATAACTTTAAATCAAAAAATATATCTTCGTAACAGTTAATAAATACTTTTAAAATCAATATGGTGAAATCTCTTTAGTTTTGAATAATTGTGATTGAAATAATTTCTAAGTTTAGAGTAATTGTCTTTCATTTTCCAGTGGGCTTCCTTGACCATTGTTTCCTTTCTGGTTGTGAAACTACATTCATACATTTCAGTGTAATATAGTTTGAAGCTGAATGTTTTATTAATTTTCTCAGGTAGAGAGAGCTCTTAATTTGATCTTATGGTAAAGCAACTCATTAACAAGCCAGAAAGAAGATAAAAAATCCATACTATTCAATATCAACTCTACCCCTAATGATTTAGTGATAAGGTAGTCTTACAATGCTAAAATACAGAATTTGATCCATGTATTGTTTGGACATATACTTTGTAGGTTTCTGCCTTAAAGACCCCTCAGTGGCTCAGCAGTAAGTCTGTGGGCTTATGCTGCTAAATATCAAGTTTCGATACCAGTGGTGGGCAGACCTCGGATAACTCAGTGTGTATTGTTGCACTTAGCAATAATCAAACCAAATTGCTTTAAACAAATAGACAAAAAAATAAAAAACAAACAGGTTATTTCAATTGTTGGAAAGTGAGCTTCGAGGTGACATAGTTTCACCCTTTCATTCCACCATCGACAATATGATGAAAGCCATTTTTAAAGTAGTTCTGGTTTCTCTAAGTTCAGATTACTAGAAGTAAAAATGAAAAACAAACCTGAGAAAATAAAATACATTAAGCTTCTTTCTTAATTATCCTGAATTAAAGATCAGGACACTGTTAACATTAAAATTGTAAATGTAGGTGAAAAAAAAGGAGTTCCGAACAAATGCCAAAGTCAAAAATGTGACCACTCTACTACTGTAAATGGAACATATTCTGGTGTGCAGAAACAGGCTTAATGACAAACAATCAAATGTATGTTCCATCCATTTGCTGTCCATAACTTAAACTTGTGGTTCAGTGGTGCTGGTGAAAGCATAAAAGAAGTGAGTACGTTGTTATTATAGCCCAGAGGAGCTTTGAGTTAACCATACAATATAGGTCCCACATTGGCTGTGTACATTTTTGGCTTATTTATTAATTTCTTTAGTTAATACTAACATTCACTACACCTACAAGGTTTCATGGCAACCCCGTCACTAAAATCGTAATGGGTAGACATTAATTGAACGGCAAAAAATGTAATAGATTCTAATAAAATGCGATATCAAATATAAATGTGAAATATTTAATGCGATGATGAAGTTCACTGATAATAAATAATTCTTAATTTACTGTATTTTCTTTACGATTGTTTTTGTTTCTGGTATGTAAAAATGTTTAAAATATTTTTGACGGTTCTTCTATGCTAAATTGGGTTCAGAATACACACGCTGACAAAGTCATCAAGAGTATATCAATCTAACAACCCGAGAGACGTCGGGTACTTTCGTTAGTTAGTAATAAATCAAAATATGCACGTGTTTTCTATTTTTATAAGTTACAGACAAATGTGTGTGAAAAAATGTAGTTAAACAGTAACCAAAATGGGCATTGTTTGTGTTACATATAATAACAAAAATACTTTCGAGATGGCCTGAAGATTACCTAGAATATTTTGCGAGATAACCTAGCCTAGAGCAAAGTGCATAACATTTATCACAAAAGTAAAAATATTGATCCGAATTTAAACTAAATAAAAAACAAACTTTTATAATCAATGAAGATTAAATTTAAAAAATCAACATATATTTTTTTTTTTCCCAATTTGGTAGTTTATACATTTAATTTTATACTTTCAGTGCATAGACTAACAACAATATTAGGTTATACTTAAACATGATACAAAAGCCAATTTAGAACATATTGTTACCAAAACACACTGGCTTTTCTATATATTAGAAGTTATTATGTAAGGAACCACTTCTTTTCTATGTGGTTTTTCGCTAGCTTGCCCCATTCAAAAGATGTGCACGTGGATAAGATACGTAATAATACTCAGGTGCATACCCCCAGGCTCCACTTAATCTGTATGGAAAATGTTAGGTTTCCACTTGGAGCTATGGCGTTCACACTTTATTTTTTTGCGAGCTTGACTCGTAAAAAAGTAATACCCAGGTGCACACCCTCGGGGTATACTTAGTATGGGTGCAACATTTCAGGATTTGAAGTTCTTTCCTCTTGGAGCTATGGCATTCCACACACACACACTCCCTATTTTATTATACTAGCGAATGTACCCGGCTTTGCTCGGGTTATTAGGTTGAAATATTATAAATGACTACGTCAGTGTGTGTGATCGTCAAACCTCTAATCAACGGAGACTAAATTAAGAAATCAACAAATATTTTTTTCAATTTTGTAGTTTATACATTTCATTTTATACTTTCAGCACATAGAATAAAAAAAATATGTTGTACTTTTGTTGCTAAGCAACATGACAAAACCATTGTTGGTACGCATTGGCTTTTCTATATATTACAAGTTGTTATATAAGAAACCACTTCCTTTCTATGTGGCTTTTCGCTAGCTTGCCTCATTAAAAACAATGCACGTACGCACGTGGATAAGATAGTTAATAATAGCCAGGTGCACAACCTCAGGGTCTATTTAGTATGGGTGCAACATTTCAGGTTTCTAGGTCCTTTGCTCTTGGAGCTATGGTGGTCACATATTCTTTCATATGTGGTTTTTCGCTAGCTTTCCTCACAAAAAGATGCAATCGCGCACGCACATGGGTAAGTAATAATACCTAGGTGCACACTCTCAGGATCCACTTAGTATGGGTGCAAAATTTCAAGTTTCTGGGTTCTTTTCTCTTGGAACTTATGGTGGTCACAGACATGCCCTTTTATTATTATGGACTAGCCAAAGTACCCGGCTTCGCACGGATTCTTCGGTTGATATATTTTAGCAAGTACATAAAATTTATCATGAAACTAAAAATATTGATCCAATTTTAAAAATAAATCGTTTCTGAATTAAAGTATTTTTTGTTATATCACCAACGTTTTTAATAAAAAAAACATCTTTTTAATCAATGGAGACTCTTAAGTTAAGAAATCAACAAATATCATACCAGTTTTGTTGTTTGTACATTTCGTTCTGTACATAGACTAGCAACAATATTATATTATACTTTTTTTGTAAGCAACATGATATAAAAGTCGGTTGGAATGCACTGTAACCAAAACGCTCTGGCTTTTATATATATTAGAAGTTGTTATATAAGGAACCACTTCTTTTTTTACGTGATTTTTCGCTAGATTCCCTTATTGAAAAAAGATTTATATCTACAATTTATAATATTAAGAAACACTTTTTTTTTTCTTGTGGTTTTTCAGTAGCTTGCCTCAGTGAAACGATAAGCATACACTTCGATAATATGAGTATTAATACCAAGGTGCACATCCTCAGGGTCCACTTAGTATGGGTGCAAAATTTCAGGTTTCTAGTTTCTTTCCTCTTGGAGCTATGGCGTCACACGACACTTTGAGACTAATAATGCTTGGAGACGGCTTGAATGGGTAATGAAGAAAAACTTTAATATAAATTTTAACATAACAGCAAATGTACAACGTTTCGACAAGGTTGATGATAAAGTTAAAGTTTTTTTAATTACCCATTCAATCAGTCTCCAAGCATTATATATATATAAAATATTACATTGCAAAGAGCGTGGCACCTCTACACTGCTAGCAGCGCCACATTGTGGCAATACTTTCATTAGGTATTAAAACTGGTTAAGTTGATATACATATTATATACTATACATAGTATAGGGTATGATTGATATACTTGTGTATTGTCGTTATAGCGCAAAAGTACACAATACGCTAGCTTCGATTTGCTCACTGCGGGGAATCGAACTCTGAATTTTAGCGTTGTAAGTTCGTAAATTTACTGGGAACTATGAATAGAATTCACTTCTTCCTTGCAAATGAGCACAAACTGCGTTCAAGATTTCTCGTCATTAGGGCGCCATTACGACAAGCACAACTGCAGAAGCTTAAATGTATCACGTGACCACATACGACAATCGAGTGACAACCCTATTTTGTTTCTTTTGTGTTTTTATGAATTTCGTGCAAAACAACTCAAGGGCTAACTGCGCTACTCGTCACTAATATTTAAGCGATAAAGTAAAGGGGAGGATTTCAAAAATTATATACTGGCCAATTAGATGTGTTTGTTGTTTAGATTGCAGATGGTCATGGGTTATGTTATAACTAGCTTTGGCCGACCCGTCAGAAACAAAATGTGTGGAGTTTGTGTGTGTGTATGTATAAATCATGTTATTTCTCTGTGAAGCTCTCAGAACTTACGGATTGTTATTTGATGAATTTCGCGCAAGGCCACTACAATGGCTATCTGTCCCTAATTTTGAAGTGATAGACAGTTAGTCAATACCACCCACCGCGTTTAATGTATACACTCGGTCTATTCCATACTGTGTGGTGCATCATTAACTAGGTTAATAATACTATTAGGATACTTATGTCACAGTAACGCTTGCGCCGTGAAGTATGTAGTGTTGGTTACATATGTAACTTTGTCTAGTGGGAAACCATAGTGTTGCGTTTCCAATTTAATTTTAAAAGGAACAAATATATCTATGTGTATAAGGGTTTCGTATTTTTAAAATGTATACGTGTGAAAAGTTGATTACATATTTAGGAAGAGAGGGGTAGCGATTTATCAAGCAGAGTATTTGTGATCAGTAGCGAATTATTCCGCATACAATAAAATATGCATAAAATCAAACACGCAGATTCAATTGTCGCGAAGACGTTGAAATGTAACTACCCATTTTATAGGCCGAGCGCGGCCTAGTGGTTAACATGCCAGCCTGTGGATCTGAGGTTCCGTGATTCGCGTGCCGTTAATGCAGAAAGAAAATCCCACTCAGCACTTTGGGGCTATGGGTGCATTATAAGAGTGACGGAAAATTACATTCTATATTATTAGAGTAGCCCATGAGTTATGAAAATTACAAACATGTAGATCGAAAGTTCAACTTTGTAGAACTCCCAATGTTACAAGAGTGACAACAAATTACAGTTAACTAGTTTTTCACATACAAATTTCTGCGGAAATTACTTTTTTGTTTTATTATTTTCTCTCGCAAGGTTTCGTTATCACAACTTGAAGGAATTCTCAAGGGGAAAAGCGATGACCTAAATTCTACATTTAATTACATTGCAAAAAACCAAAAACTGTGAATTAGTTTGCTCTCAATCTCGAATAATATTTGTGTGTGCCAAAATTACTAAACCTGTTTTACTTATGTAAACACCTCTTTTTCTATTTCCACATACAACAGTTGAATGTTTAGCCAAGTAACCCCAAATTCTTGTCACAATTATTGAAACAATGCATTTCGGTTTTGATGCGAAATTAGTTTTTATGATGAAAAGAATAATCGTCATTGCTCAAGTCTTGTTTCAGAATTTACAGTCAGTTTAGTATAGGAGTACTAACACAAAAGCATGTCCAGTATTGTTGTATAATGCAGAAAAATATTTTAAAACACCTTTTGTCAATTTACATACAACGTTTGTAGCAACAAAATTAAGGACTTGAGATATATGGAGGAGAGAGAAAAAACCGGAGACACTTTTGAAATTTGAAACAAACATTGGCATTCTCTTGTTATGCCTTACACTAATAAGAGAGAGAGGAGAGAAGACTGACTTTATTGACCCTAAAAAAAATACAGAAATTTATTTGATGACAGGGATTTAAAAAAATATTCAAAGTTGAAAACAAAATAACCTGAAATATGAGTAATGTGGGATAAGCAAACTTTCTTACACCAATACATACAACAAACATGTAATGAACTTTCTACTGGAAATAAAAAAATTATTCTTCAAGCTTACTATTTATCTGCAATACAATTGGCATAAAATCATCATCCAGGTTTGCCTCTGCTACTTTTTTCAGCAATGTTTTCAAGTAACTGATGTTACACTTAAGCTGGTCTGTACAAGCATCAAGAGCATGCTCATATTCCAAATTTAACTGGGAAGATATGAAATATCCCAAGGGAATTTTACATTCAGCTCGTTCTCCTAACATGTCCCTATAAAAGATTGTGCATCTAGCATTACCTCCCAGTACACAATACAAACCTGCAACTGGTTGATTACCATCCCTGACTACAAGGGTGCGGAAATTGTATACCAGATTTCGTTTCTCTGATACACTAACATGAGCAAGATATTTAGAGCCAACATAAATAAGGTTCCCCCACACCGTTGTTTTACCACTGCGTGTTTCTCGAACTGTCCAATTAACATACTTCAGATTTTGGTGCAAGGTATAACAATACTCTTTCCGGGATTTTTTGGTTTCACTCTGAACAAACCACCCAGTATGTGGATATTGCTCATCAGCCATTACAATGACTGGAATACCAACATGATATCCAGGGTCAAGAACTATTACCCCATCACGATTTTTAAGTTTAATTTTGACAGCAACGAGAACATGCTCTTTCAAACCCTTATCAGTTTTAGGAAGATAAGAAAAATCAATAAAATTGAACTCTGTAATCATTTCTTCACAGGATGCTAAAAATAAAATGGATTTCATTTCAGGAAAAACTTTACCAATGTGAGACACAAGAATAGAAGAAATTAAAGAAAAACTCAGGCCAACACAAGTTAAACTTCCTGGCACAATTTTAGGTTTGTACTGGACAAAAAATGGCAGAAGAGACAGTGTATCCTGCTGCTTGAAGTCCTCATAGAACTTCAGAAAATTTCCAACAGTGTTATATGGTAACTCTTTAAGTTGTTCTTTCAGTACTACTTCAACATCCTGGACAAAAACCTGGAATGATGCTTCTGTTGAAAACTCCAAAGGAGGAGGAGATTCTCCCCATTTTGGATCAGGAAAAAGATTCTCACTGAGAATACTTTGGCATGGAGATAAAGGGCATTTCAAACCCTTGCTCAATTTTATCTAAAAAGATAGAAAAATAATGTTCATTCAAGAGTGGATATAAATCTAATAATGGCCAACAAGTTATAATAAATGTTTCAAAATGTGTTCTCTATCTCATAAAAATACTTATCACAGTGCTTCTGTTTTGATGGGCATCATAGCAGTGGCACCCACAAAAACCCCAACCAATAAATGGCATGATGCCCCTTATTATTTTTTTTGCTCATCACAGGAGATATTCAGAAAGAATAAGAACAATACAATACTGCATTTATTAGAAATAATCTTGTGGCACATTATGTCATAAATTTAAGTTTCATGACAACACAGTAACTACCCTTCAGTGACCCTGTTGCTATGCACGTGCACAATGCTTTGATTGGTCTCTCAATTACTCTGAATCAGCACAGTGACCTGACATGTGTGAACTATATTTTTGTCTGTGGTATTGCATACATAATTTGACACATTTTATTGAAATTATTTAAAACAAATCTGAGCATACTTTATCAATTTAAAATAACAGATGTGTTAACTGACACTTAAAATGTATTTCAAAAACTTCAACCATTATATAATTGTAACTTTCTCAAACTACTATCTGTTTTGCCATTTCTGCTTTACTACCTGTACTAGTTACTTTAAGGACTTAACTACTTAAGTATTGGTGTATAAATTTTATAAATGTGTTCATCTATTGATGAATATATGATTATCTGATAATTCATTTTGACTTGTAAAGAACTTCTGGTGGCTTTCCATAAGGTGAGACACAGATTACCTAAGACTGATGAATGCCTCAGTGGTAGTATTTTTTAAATACTCATTTTAGTTTACCTTTGTATACTTAGAAATCATCTAGTTAAGGATTCATGCAAGAAACTATATATTAATGCCTATGTTTGTACATACGAGATATGATTATTATATATTAATTTTATATTTTATGCTTGCATTTTCCATTGACTATTTTTAAAAATAAATTATCTATTCAGTAAATGCTCAATCATATGATTTTGTTCCTTAAAAAAAGAAAAAAGTTAAATGCATGTCATTTTACTCGTTTCATACCTATCCTCTACAATATTCAACTCGCTTAAAGCCTACAACTAAAGAATAATGATGCTAACAATCCCCATCCATTCCTCAAAGATGAAGCACGTCATCATTAATAGAGAATGTAACCTATTGCATATTCTAAATAATGTTTTGTACAAGTACTAAGTGTTTCTAATAGAAGTCATAATAACATCCTGGTAACACACTAACTCTTAAATGAACCTTTGTTTCAACTTATTACTTACTGTACTGAATCAACAGCTTCACAGTGTATATTACCTTGTAACATAAAACATTTTCACAAAACTTGGTACATATTTCTACACACCATTTTTACACCAAGCCATCACATTTCACATAATCTAAAACTGGCAAACAAATCCTCTACAATGAACACACTTCAGCTGGACTGTTAACACACACACTCTTTAATCAACATATATCAACTAGACCACAATAGATACTTGAAGCTACTTCATTCTCCTAATATTGCAGTCAATGTGGTCTTCAGGGTCTTCTGTACTTAAATTGCAAGTAGATAACACTGGCCAACAAGTCATTTTCATCAAATATAATTATAGGTGAGCTATATAGCTCTTAGGATGCTGATTCCAAATCTGTTTTTGATTTTCCTTTAGCATGTCAAGTTTTCGTGACGAGATCGATCAAATTTGAAAGGTTATTACCTTAATTATAATTAAAGTAGTTGTACATTTCTTTTCTTCATAAGTGTGTACTGTATAAATTCAACTAAGTGTATGGTGTGCATGACGTTTATGGAAATTATACTGAAATATGAATAAAATTGTAATGTTAACTAGCCTAATGTGTGATTATTACATAAACTGTGCTGAAATTACACCAGTCATATTTTGATAACTAGATGTGCTAGAAGAAAATTGAACACAGATTTGGAATCAGGGTGCATAACTGGTGGTCTTTACACCTTTGATAAGAGAAAAAAGTTTGATTTTGTCGACCAGTGTAATCTGTAGAGAAGTCACACAAAAATTTATGGTGGAGTCTGGAACCATAAAACTCTAATCAAGTATAATTTTAGATCTTAATAGTAAAAAGGTTCACAATTCCCTCAAACAGAAAAGGCATACATACAATCTAAACCATCAGTGCAAAGTTCTTTTACAGTTATCATAGTGACAGACATTAGATAGCTATTAATACATTTACTGATCTTATAAACAGTAATAAACTAATGCTTTAAGAAGGTAAAATGTTTTCATTTTGGCAGTTAGAAAACTAATATGTATACAGTCACATCTAAACAGAATACTTACAAATTCTCTATGGAGGTAGCATGTTTTCATGCCACCCACATGAATATACCTGGGTTTAATAGTGAGTGTTTTAAAAGAAAGAAAATGCCATCACACAAAATCATTATAACCAAAGTAATATATTTTCAATTAAAAACTGTAGTTTCCCACTTTAAATTAAGCAAACATCAGACAACATTTTTTTTTTTAATTATGCTCAAGACTAAGTCAGTATTAGTGTAATGGGAGTATATTCCTAGATGAAAACCTTGTCTATATTTCACACATACAGTTAACAACTAAACATGCCTATACAAGTTTCATGAAATGACTTGTAAAGGCCAGAAGTTAAACTTACCTTTACATGATTTTCAACAGATCTATCATGGAGGATGTTCTCTTCTAATTGCCAGTGCAGTGGCAAAGTCAATTGGCTATAAAAAAAGGATTCATACACATAGAATTAACTGGAAAAAAACAAAAAAACAGATAAAAACTAAATCAAGCACCGTACTTTTAGAATTTGCTTAAATGCTTTTCATTAAAAATATTTTTACACATCTTAGTCTACCTTACATTTGTTAATAAAATACTGGATTTTAATGGCTCATTAATGCATAAACATGTTCTAAAATGTGTTCTTTCGAGCCCTACAGCATTGAAAACTGATAATGTACTGAAACAAAACTTAAAACACTGCAACACACACGCTTATATAAACTTCTTAAATTTCAATAATAAAGTGAAGTACCTGGTAAGATGGAATCGAGGCTGTGGTTCGAGTCAAGATGGCCATTGTGAGACAAATCTCCCCACTTCGTGAAAGTGAGTGGTAATCAGATATTGCATAAACTCATCCTCTTCTGTTTCTTTTGAACACTGATCTGGAATAAATAAAGATACCACTCACACATACATAAGCCTTTTAAAAAGACATGTAACATTTCACACAAAAATTAGTTTTGTAGAAACATTTTTCTAAACAATATCACCAAATGATGCATCTGCAATTTTTGTTCTATGCAGAATTTGAAACAGTATTCAACTTAATATCACATGTGTAATTGTGAAGAGTGAAAATTATTTTCACAATTGTTAACACAAACCTTCAATGAATATGGAAAGACTAGTCACAACAACCTAATGATAGTACCTAATGCTAACATTTCTTTGCATTGCTATTAATTAATACAATAACTTACATTTGTGGCATAAATGCACATCATTAAATCTTCTGAACATTCTTCTATTTTAATTTTTCATGGTAAATTCTAACACAAACAAGAGAAAGATACACTTAATATTTCACGTTTATACAGTACATTTATTACAGTCTTTCTTTCAATTATCATCAATTCAGAAAATTCCTTACTTAGACATTCTACCCTTAATAACATATGAACAAGAAAATTAGAGAACACCTCAGTATATTACAACAATAAACATTGTGTAATATTTCTAGTCATTCATATATTTCAGACACAAAGATGGCTATGTCAAAATTCACTTTCATGGTCTCAATAATAAATCAAGTTCTCAAATGCTAAGGAGTATATATTACTTACCTTTCTGTATATGAAAAATAAATATTGAATAGAATTTATGTCTGATAAACTTTAATATATATCAAGTCTTTACCACAACTGCCAATTTAAATACATAAGCTAAAACAATTTCTAAGAATGGCAAGGTCACAAATCCAATTTAATTACCAATTTTATTACTTTCATTACAAATGTAAATATGTTTAAAAAGGTGAAATAATTTAATGATAGATTTCTCTTTTGCAAACAGCTCAATTCATAACAAAAATTATCCTTAAATAAAAATATAATTTGATCTGGTTTTTCAAAGTGTCTGGAATGTCATTTTAGTAAAAGTGTCTATGAGACAAGATATCATGCATCTGGGCCTATTCTAATGCTCACATGCATTAGTAAAAAAAAAATCTTACATTTTAGTCAAATTAGCAGCTTCTTACAATGCTTTGTGGTTGGATGACCTGTTGGATCCAGATCAAATTAAGTATCACACTGAACTGGCAACTGCACCATTTTGCATCATCCAATAAAATATTTTATGGAGGAGCATGCCCCCAGACCTCCCCAAAAGGTGACTGCCTTTGGTGCTCCCAGCATTTAACCATACACTAACAAATTAATTGTTTGAGTCTCACTTAAGATAAAAAAAAGTGAACCCTTAAGATGCCTACCTCCACTTCTACTTATGGCAACTTATTCATTCCATAAAATAATCTTAGCAAGAACCTTGCCTAACTTTTACAAATATTAAAACTTGCATCCTTATACTATTGTCTTTAGTATACACTACAAAAAAACACACTCATGCCCTATGAATCTCATAAGCTATAAGAATATTACCTCCTAACCTTCTTTTCTTAAGCCAAAATAATGTAAAAGGTTCTAACAACACAACCTTTCCATCCTCAAAATCATTCTAGTAGTCCTCCACTGAACCCTTTCAAACAAAATAAGTTCATATTCTTTCATAGATAAAGAGACCAAAACTGTAAACAATACTCCAGATAAGGCTTAACCAACAATTTGTATAAAAAGAGAATTATTTCTTTTGACATGTAACCTTGTACAGTCCACTTAGTCTTCTGTAGTGGGTAAAGTCTAGTGTAAAAAATTAGCAAGTGGAACGGTCAGGTTTGATATCCAGTTTGCAAACAGCAGTCCATGCTGCACAAATCTGCTTTAGTAGTTTAACAACAGGAATGATTTGATAAAAAAGTTAACAACCGGAATGGCATTCTGGTTCATTCCACCTTAACTCAAGCACTTAGTGCAACACAGGAGGTTAGCTATGAAAATCACACAAGTGAGAGATTAAAGAAAGATGAACTAATTGGATTGTAGGATAACTGAATGAGAGAAAGCAGTTATTGTTAATGAAGTCTAGCCAAACTGGATTTTTGTTACTAGTGCTAGTGCTTTTTCTTACTTATGTGCAATAGGAATATAATTAGTATATTTGTAAAGTTTGCTGATGACTTTAAACTTGAGGCTATTTCCAGTTGTATTGAGAATGTTGAGGTATTACATAATGACTTAGATCAATTGGTCAGTTGGACAAACATTTGGCAAATGAACTTTAATTACAGTAGGTGCAAATGTAATACAATTGGTTTATAATTTGGATCACATGTTTAATATAAATGGGATCCAGCACAATAGGATGACTGAAGAAAAGGATCTTAACATAATGGTGGATAAATCACTCACGATGATTACAATTCAAAAGAGTTAATTATCTATCTATCTGTATTGTAATACATATGACCAGTTAGGCATCACCTGGAATTCTATGTACAGTTGTCCTTTTTTTTATCTAAGAAGGGATATTTGGCTTACTAGAAAGAGTTCAGTGGAGGGTTTCTAAGATAATTCCAAGGATGGAAAGTTTAATTAACACATATAGCTCAAGACCTATTAAGTTACTTTCTCTAGCGAAATGCAAAGTAAGAAGTAATTTTACTGAAGTTCGTGGGATTGTTTAGATAAAAGCATCCGATTTCTTGTGTTATTTATTAAAGACAATAGGATGAATACAAAAGTTTAAGATTTAAGAGTTAACTGCTAGGCTACAGTTAAGACAGTTATTTTTTTAACAGAGACATTGACTTATCGAATGACTTGCTGATGGCACCAGTGGAGGTCAGCACTTTACATTTGTGAAAGAGGGGAATCAAAGATTTCCCGATAAATAGTAAATGATGGACTTTTAATTTTTACTTATCTCAAAGATGACTGCAATAACAGCCTTGAAAAACCAAATAGTCCCTTTTTCAAATTATTATTTCAGGACCCTTTTTAAATAAACACCTAAGATACTTATTTCCTAGAGCTTTAACTTACGGCAAATTGTTTAATTTCTTAAAATCTTCACTTTATACTTCAATTTTGTATCCCTTCTTCATTTTGCTTAAATCTTGAATATATACATTAACAGGAAAGCTACAAGTTAAAAGAAAACATGACAGGAAAATTGCAAGTCAATATCTACAAATTACATTCCATTATTGTTTGAAGTTTATAAAAACTATAATATATTGAAGGATAGGAGATAGCAAACAACTTCCAGAAGACACTAATAGTGTTATAAAGTTGTACAGTTGACTTTTAAATACATTCAAATAAGACAAAATGAATTTATACATTTTGGCCATATCAACCAAAAACAATAAATATTCTGTGTACCTGTACATAGACGGTTGTAGAAACCTTATTTGAGTATTAAAAGAGAACATGGAAAAACATTTTACTTGAAAATACAAATTTTCAACACATGACATCCATTATGTTCCAGGCAGATTGTTATTTTGGTAACTTGTATTCTTTCACCAATATTAAAAACCTTTAATTTAAATCTCTTCATCATCCTCTTAACCACAATATAGCATTTTCATTTAAGGAAGTACTTAATTCATCTATAAAAGACAGAGAGAATTGTATATTTTCTAATCAACTTCATGTTCAAAGAACTAATTTAATCTGGTATACCAAATCTTTTAAACAAATCGATATATCATCATTACCAGATTCAGAAAACTGGTAATACCATCTATGAAAGGAGACTTTAATAATCATTACAAATACATAAAAATAAGCATTCCTTTCCTATTCAATTCAAAGAAAACCAAATGTATTGAGCATTTAAATACGATTTGCCAGCTCACACAAAAAAGTAATAAGCAACAAAATATGTCAGATCTGGGTAAATATATCAAGTTTATAAATTTTAGTTTTACTTAAAAAAAATAAAAACCAAAACAAGTGTTTATTATTAATAATAATAACAATATTCCTTTGCCCTAACTATAGGCTATAGTTCGAAAGTTAAAGAAACAAATATTTTATTGATAAACTCAAAGCAAGCGAGTCAATTAATGTTTCCTGTACTGTATTAGTTATTACTTTTAAACAAAGCTAACATCAACGGTCAAGACTTTTTAAAGAACTGAGAACATTCAAACAAGCGTTAGTAAACACTTTACAAGTTCAAGTTTCATTGACATCATTAATTCACACTTTATTTTATCGATCGCTCTCTTAACCCTAACACTATGCTCACTTCACATTATCAACATTGATACTGAAATAAAATCTGCGTACCTAATTTCTCATTGCTTTTTGAAAGTTGGAAAGAATTTTCTTAACTTAAAGTTAAACTGAAAATTATTATCAACATTATTTTAACTTAAGAAACGATGTTTTTAGAATGAAAATGCCAACAGCCTCAGGTACTCTAGTAGTAGTAGTATTATAAAATTACTCACCCATACAACGAATTTTATCTCCGTTAATACCACAAGTATAAAAATTAGTACGAAGAAGTATCTCTTCAAAATCTAAACCTTTTCCAGTTGCAATCGACTAAATCAAAATACAAACTCTAGAAACCTCGTCAG